AACTTCATTTGTCATGTCATTTGATCCTGTCTTTGCGATGAAAAACGATCCAAAATGAACTGTATCCTCTTTTTCATAATTTCCAGTGTATTCTTTGAGTGTATCACATCGGAGAAGGAATGAAGCTGGACAGAGTGGTTGACCAACAAATTGTTTCCCATCATTCTTAAAGAATTGTGGGATTGGCCAGAGAGATGCATAATTTGTCTGCCCATTGTTGCTTGTGTTTGTGATGTTATTGATCTTCAGGAGGTCTTCAACACTGTGTTTTGTTCCATTAAATGCGTGGTCTGACCATATTACATTGGTGAATGAGTAGGGATCACTTCCTTGTGACGTCTTCATTGTTATTATAGGGACAAAGCAATACGCATGTTTTGAAAGCTTCTTTTCGACAAGATCTTTGATGAATGACCCATCTATGACGCACTGTGGGACATCTTCTGGGCCAAAGTACTGAATATTGTCCATTTGTTCGACATCTTTTGTTCCACCAGGACAGTACATATATTTGTATTGTCTTGTGACAGTAAACGTGTATGGGAACATGTTTTTGATCATCGGAAGTGCAAAGTCAAGTTGCTTTGAAGTCATTTCATTCATCCACTGCTTTACTGCTTCGTCTTGGATTCCATTGAACTCATCAATATCTTTGAATGGTGTGCTATAAAATTTTGCTACTTGTGACGAGTAGAGAGCACTGTGGCTATTCGAAGATCCAAGAGCCTGCGACCGTACAAATTGTCCTTCAAGAGAATCCTCCTCGCCTAACGCTCCCGCAAACGACTTCACAAGATTCTTAACAAGAGGAATTCCAAAATTGACCAACCCACTTATGATACTTGCCATTAAGAAATACAAAGTTTTTCTCTTTTTACTGGATCGAACACGTGTCAAAGACGTGTCAACTGAGACATAAGTTTGATTGCGGACTGGAAAATCAATGGCACAACAGCAGACTTTTTGTAAGTACGGGAAGTACAAACAAAACATTAAAACTAAAGATGGCTACTACGGATGGATGA